AACAAAAATGTTACGGTTGGAACTAGATTATTTTGACTTCAATCCATAGATAGAACTAAAAACAATGTTCTGTCTCGTTTGCATTTTTTAATGATTCATTTATTTTATCATTTATTAATCTAAAATAAAAAAAGAATTTTATCGATAAAATATAATTTTTATATAACACAATTTCAGCGATACACTCAAGGGGTTTTTGTAAATATTTGCATAGTTAGTTTTATATGAATTTTTAGGGTTTTTCGTTGTGTAGAGAATTTGTGTTAAGATTTAGCAACCCGATTAAGTTAGGTATTAGTATGGGTGTATCAATTATATAACAATATTTTATATTTCTATCGAAATTGTACCGTACTTCAAAAAATACTTTATAAATTTTTAAATTAATATATATTATATCTTTGATATATATTATATTTTGATCGATCTTCCAATCGAACCATAGGATCTAAAACAGATCACTCAAAATTGGCACATTCGTCATATAACTACCTAAAAATGTAAAAGGGGATTTTATTAATTAAATTGGGTTAAAGAGTTTATATAGTGATAATAATTTAGAAAAATAATGATTTAGAAGATTATAAAACATATTTAAAACTAAATCAATTAGTTTCAACGAACCCTTCTTTTAATATATAATATAATATTAATATATAATTATAATATATATTAAAAAAGAAATTTATTTTTATTATTGAGTCAAGTCGATGGGGAAAGTGAGAATCCCCATCCTGAAAATTATAAAATATACTAAAATGAAAGGTGAACCCTTGTGCTTGCATTTATCCTTTTTTCAAACAAAAAAGTACCATTAATTTTTTGAATTAAGTAGACAACAGAATTCTTATCTATATCAGAAATGAAAGAAAAAAGACGCCTTCTAAATTAAAACATTATGAAACTAATTATTTTTATTTATTATTTTATATAAATATAAATTTATATTATTTTACTATTATGATGTTAATTAAAATTCTTATAACTTATAAATCTTATAAAAAAAATTAGAAACAAAATTAGATTACTTTTATAATTAGACCGATTCAGATTTTTTATTGTATTGTTTGATTACTATTATTTATTTGTTACACAAAAAAAACTTTTAGAACTCCCGGTAGAAAGAGATTTCGCTAACGAAAAAGCTTTCAATGCTGCCCGATATCCCTTCCTTTTCCAAATATTTTTACGAATCCGTTTTTTTGAAATAGAGGTGCGTTTTTTTGGAACTGCCATTAAAAAATTATAATAGGTTCTTCGGTTGGATGTGAAAGACATCTATTGTTCAAAATAAATTTTTCTTTACTGTTCTCTATCTATTTATTCTCTAAATTATACTCCCTTCATAAAAAAGGGGGGTGTGTAAAAATCGCATAAAATATTACTAACAACAATCCCCTATGCCAAATAGAATAGAATTGATTGAAGTTGATAAAATACAATACAAAAAAAAAGAAAAGATTGTGCGTTTAGTTTTCTTTCTATTTTCGTCGTGTTACATTTATACATGTAATAAAATACATCAAAAGTTTAATAACCCAACCCCTCTATCGCTTAATTAAAAAACTTTAATAATTTTCTATTATATTAATTTTAATTAATTTAATTGGTCAAACTCGAAGAAAAAGTACACCCAACTTTAATTCTCAAATTAGAGTGGGACTAGTAGTTAATCTGTTAAAAGATACAAATATATATTATTATTATTATAAATAATTATTATTTTTTTATTTTTTTTCTTTCTTTTTTTTTTTTTTTTTTTTTTTTTTTTTTTTTTTTACATAAAATAAAGTGTTGGATATCATAGCATTTCCTACAAATAGCTTTTATTGTAATGGAAGACAATCAATTAGTTACAAAACAAATTGTTTAATGATTCTGAATAACCGAATTACAATTACAATAAATAGTTTTTATGGGTCAAGTTATGCGCTTTATGATTCATACCAAACACTGTTTTTGGTGTAATTATTTATCCTCGCTCTATAGATATAAAAGATATAAATAAATTATTGTAATACGTAATAATTAGAATGCAAATTTTATTTAAGTTTTATTTTATATATCTTAATTTTTTTTTATTAACTGAACCCTTTCAACAGAAAACAAATAAGAACCGGTGAATCAGAAACAATTAATTAAGAAAAATATTTTATTTTTTTTTATGGAATATACATATCAATATTCATGGATTATACCTTTCATTCCACTTCCAGTTCCAATGTTAATTGGAGCAGGACTTCTACTTTTTCCAACGGCAACGAAAAATCTTCGCCGTATGTGGGCTTTTCCGAGTGTTTTATTGTTAAGTATAGTTATGATTTTTTCAGCCCATTTTTCTATTCAGGAAATAAATAACAATTCCGTATATCAATATGTATGGTCTTGGACCATCAATAATGATTTTTATTTAGAATTTGGCTGCTTGGTTGATCCACTTACTTCTATTATGTCAATATTAATCACTACTGTTGGAATGATGGTTCTTATTTATAGTGATAATTATATGTCTCATGATCAGGGATATTTGAGATTTTTTGCTTATATGAGTTTTTCCAATACTTCAATGTTGGGATTAGTTACTAGTTCTAATTTGATACAAATTTATATTTTTTGGGAATTGGTTGGAATGTGTTCTTATCTATTAATAGGTTTTTGGTTCACACGACCTAGTGCGGCGAATGCTTGTCAAAAAGCGTTTGTAACTAATCGTGTCGGGGATTTTGGTTTATTATTAGGAATTTTGGGTTTTTATTGGATAACGGGTAGTTTTGAATTTCGGGATTTGTTTGAGATATTTAATAACTTGGTTTATAATAATGAGGTTAATTTTTTATTTGTTACCTTATGCGCCTTCCTATTATTTGCCGGCGCAGTTGCAAAATCCGCCCAATTTCCCCTTCATGTATGGTTACCTGATGCCATGGAAGGGCCTACCCCCATTTCGGCTCTTATACATGCCGCTACTATGGTAGCAGCAGGAATTTTTCTTGTAGCTCGGCTTCTTCCTCTTTTCATAGTTATACCTTACATAATAAATCTAATAGCTTTGACAGGTATAATAACATTACTTTTAGGAGCCACTTTAGCTCTTGCTCAAAAAGATATTAAGAAAAGCTTAGCTTATTCTACAATGTCTCAATTGGGTTATATGATGTTAGCTCTAGGTATGGGGTCTTATCGAGTTGCTTTATTTCATTTGATTACTCATGCCTATTCGAAAGCATTGTTGTTCTTAGGATCTGGATCAATTATTCATTCGATGGAAACTATTGTTGGATATTCTCCAGATAAAAGTCAGAATATGGTTCTTATGGGCGGTTTAAGAAAACATGTACCAATTACAAAAACCGCTTTTTTATTAGGTACACTTTCTCTTTGTGGTATTCCACCTCTTGCTTGTTTTTGGTCCAAAGATGAAATTCTTAATGATAGTTGGTTGTATTCACCGATTTTTGCAATAATAGCTTGTTCCACGGCAGGATTAACTGCATTTTATATGTTTCGTATCTATTTACTTACTTTTGAAGGACATTTAAATGTTTATTTTCAAAATTACAGCGGCAAAAAAAATAGCTCGTTCTATTCAATGTCTCTCTGGGGTAAAGAAGGAAAAAAAATTATTAAAACAAGCTTTCGTTTATTAGATTTTTTAACTACGAAAAAAAATGAAAAAACTTATTTTTTAAACACGTATCGGATTGATAGTAATGAAAATGTAAGAAGTATGGTACATCCGTTTATTAGTATTGCTCGTTTTGGCACTAAAAACACTTTCTCATATCCCCACGAGTCGGACAATACTATGTTATTTCCGATGCTTGTATTAGTTTTATTTACATTGTTCGTTGGGGCCGTAGGAATTCCGTTATTCAATCAGGAAGGAATGGATTTGGATATACTATCCAAATTCTTAAGTCCGTCTATAAACCTTTTACATAAAAATAGAAACCATTCTGTGGATTGGTATGAATTTATCACAAATGCAACCTTTTCCGTTAGTATAGCTTATTTCGGAATTCTTATATCGTCTTTTTTATATAAGCCTGTTTATTCATCTTTACAAAATTTTAATTTATTTAATTCATTTGTTAGAAGTGTTCCTAATAAAATTAAAATTTTTGGGGGTAAAATAATAAATGTGATATATAATTGGTCATATAATCGTGGTTACATAGATTTTTTTTATGTAATATCCTTTACTAAAGGTATAAGAAGATTAGCTGAACTAATTCATTTTTTTGATAGACGAGTAATTGATGGAATTACGAATGGAGTCGGTATTGCGAGTTTTTTCGTAGGAGAGGTTATCAAATATGTAGGGGGTGGTCGAATTTCTTCTTATCTTTTAGTGTATGTATCCTATGTATTAATTTTTTTATTATTTTTTTTTTTTTTTTTTTTTTTTTTTTTTTTTTTTTTTAAAAAAAAAAAAAAAAAAAAAAAAAAAAAAAAAAAAAAAAAAAAAAAAAAAAAAAAAAAAAAAAAAAAAAAAAAAAAAAAAAAAAAAAAAAAAAAAAAAAAAAAAAAAAAAAAAAAAAAAAAAAAAAAAAAAAAAAAAAAAAAAAAAAAAAAAAAAAAAAAAAAAAAAAAAAAAAAAAAAAAAAAAAAAAAAAAAAAAAAAAAAAAAAAAAAAAAAAAAAAAAAAAAAAAAAAAAAAAAAAAAAAAAAAAAAAAAAAAAAAAAAAAAAAAAAAAAAAAAAAAAAAAAAAAAAAAAAAAAAAAAAAAAAAAAAAAAAAAAAAAAAAAAAAAAAAAAAAAAAAAAACCAGCACGGTCTAACCGTGCTCGAGGTGATGATGAGGTTCGGGTAAGAAGATGGTTCAGTGCCCCTGTTTTCGTCGACGCCTAATCAAACGGATTATGCCTTGAGTGAGGAACTAAGCTCGTGCCGTCGTTTTCACGGCCTGAGCTACAGGCTATTTAGTGGTGGGTTTTGTGGTGGGTTTTAGGCGGTGCTCCGGTGCGTTGCCATAGAGCACGGCTATGATTGATCATTGAATGATTGATGCTATAACAGAAGTGTGCTGCTCACCGCTGGTATGAAATGCTTTAGACAGTGTCCTTTACAACCTTAGGAGCATGGACATGGGACATAGGTGACTAAGAGGAAAATCTTGACAGCAGCTAATAGGGGTTTTATTTTTGGTAATGGCTAGGGATTATGCACTGCATACCAAATATTATGATTTGAAGCTCTTAAGGGGAAAAGAGAGGGAGGAGGGGGGGAAGAGAGAAGGCTGAATGTTGTTTTGATGCTATGATTGGAATCGCTGATAACTGTCAGGATTTTGCTTGAGGTTTTACATGCTGCTTGTTTAAGGTTTTATGTCATAAAGATGAGTCAACATGATCAGGAACTCCCCATTTCTTACTCCTCAAAGACCATAATTGCATGAACAAACTTCTAGAATTATGGATTAAAATGGTGCATTACAGCTAATTAACACTGGAATGATTTGTCTACCTCATAGTATAAATCTTACAGTCTGTTTAAAAGCGTATCACACTTTTTCATTATGTCAAGTACTTTATGCATTAGGATACCCTGTTGTGTATCTAGACACGCATTTGTAATACTGATTTCTTCTCTTTGTAGCTAATTTTAAAACGTTGGATTCTTGATTTCTGACAGGGCATATCATCCAGGCGCTGTGACAAGTGTTCTACATACAAACCTCCCAGGGCTCATCATTGCCGGGTCTGCAGAAGGTGTGTTTTAAGGATGGTAGGTTGCATTACATTCTTATTACCATATCATCTTATTCAGATTTTTCTGTACATGGATTAGAGTTTTTATTTCTTTCGTGCCAAAATTGGATGCAGGATCATCACTGTCTGTGGATCAATAACTGTGTTGGTTATTGGAACTACAAGGCCTTTGTTATGCTTGTCTTGTATGCAACACTAGGATGCTTGTATTCTACAGTGAGTTTATCTGGTTCTTACTTATACATGCTTTGATAATAAGCAGCCTCATATTCTGACAGAAGCTTTTGACATGTTTAGGTTATGATTATATATTGTGCATCTCATAAGGACTTGGAATACAGTGGAAGTGGTGGCCTCAAGGTTTTTTATGTGAGTTAGTACTCTTTTTTTTCTCTCTTTTGTGCTAAGGATGTGAGTACATAATCATCTATTCTGTTTTTCTTGTTTTAAAGTAATTTCTTAAGTTACTCAAGTTAGATCAGGAATCTAGTTAAGCCTCTTCTATATTGATGGACTCTTAAATGAGTTAGAGGCAGAAATAATCCTGTCTACTACAATGGTTGTCTTATAGCTCATATTGTAATTTTCAACGGTGTTAAGCATTGTTAGAGTGCGCAAAAATATGGAGAACTGGTTGCTAATAGTCACATAAATGGGTTCTTCTGCATGTTCCTCTTTTCAGCTGTTGAATACGGGTTTCATATATATATGTATTCATAACTCTCTATTTGGTTCTTGGATCTCTTTGCAAATTAAACCACTTAAACCCTTTGTTGCCTCACCAATCATCTTAGCTGGTTTTTTAGGTTATGTCTGGACTAATGATGGCTTCCTTGAGCATAATGCTTGGAACTCTTTTGGGCTGGCATGTCTACCTCATCATCCACAATATGACGACTATAGAGGTAAACTGTGACTTTTTGTAACTGGAAGCAGAACTTTTTATTTTTATTTTTTGGGAATCATTGATACAGAGCTTGACATGGATCTTTTACCAGTATTATGAAGGAATTCGAGCATCATGGTTGGCTAGGAAATCTGGGCAGAGCTACAGACATCCATACAATCTTAGTTTCTACAAAAACATTATTTCGGTCTCTCTCTCTCCCCCTCTCCCCCTCTCTATGTGTGTATCTTGTATGTTCTTATATAAGTTATGCCTGATATATGTTGAAAAGGTTAACATTGCAAGTCATCTGCCTTTTTGATCAGGTCTTGGGTCCAAACGTGCTGAAATGGTTATGGCCCACAGCAGTAAGCCATCTCAAAGATGGACTTATCTTCCCTACTCCGCGCGATAATTCATGAGTCTTCTGCCTCTGCTCAAATTCAGATTTGGTGGCCTAAGTCCTTGTTTGTCAGCACACAAAGAATGTGAAGCATGTTCACTATAGTCATCTCCTAATCTGAAAAGAAGCTAGCGAAAAAGCAACAGAGGGGAAGAAGCTACATATCTTGTGGATAAACGCAGGGCGGGTTATCAGCTTCATTACGAGCCTAAGAAAGTGCTAAGACTTGCACAATAGGATATGTTGAAAGCAGGTAGAACGAGCTTCCTTTTTCACATTCTGGAGATCAACAAGTCTTTTTTGGCAACAGTAGTTTGGATATATGAAGTGTACATCAGATATTTTATACGATAAACGTTTGGGATATTTTATGCCGGAGGACACTGCAACCCACTTGATTAAACCCAGCCCCAAACTGAGGGATGTTGGAATAGAAACAGTGTGTGTAACTTCATGTAAGGTTAGCATTTTTGTTTACACTCTTGATAAAGAGCTTACATTGTTCCATTTTCGCTTAAATGACCAGTAAAATGTTTATTTATACTATTTGTCCCTCCACAAAAGAAAAAAACTATATTTGTGACGTCTGCTGGTTTCGTTTTAATTATATTATCAAGAAATAAGGATTGCTTAATGCTACGGTCGGTTGCACAGGTCATTCCTGGCCATTGATGTGTTGATGCATGTAGCGCCCACAACGCATCAACGATCTGATTTCTTCCACAGGTGCCTGCCTAGCTAATGCTAGCTAAATCCTTGCTTTAAAACTTCGACTCAACTCAATTGTAAATGATGATATTTAAAAAGTGATTAAGGCAAAGAATAGAACACGAAAATACAATCTAAAAGATTTGGTTAGCTAAATCCTTGCTTTAAAACTTCGACTCAACTCAATTGTAAATTATGATATTTAAAAAGTGATTAAGGCAAAGAATAGAACACGAAAATACAACCTAAAAGATTTGGTGTAACGTTAACGATCATATGTGTAGGGAGAGAGAGACTATTGAGAAAATTGCAGGCACTAGGAATCATTGATGGGGATCGGGGTTCAAACATAGGTCACCACCCACATACACGAGCACACTGAAATCTAGAGCTAGTGCAAACTCACATATATTGTAGCAAATCCATGCCACAAATAAAATATTTCATTAATCATCAACATAAACTCCCTTACAACTATTACATTAGCCTTATTTATAGGCTTTACAAGACTTGGGCACCAAGGCTACTTGGTCCAAAAGTAAACTAATTAATTATAAAATTACACATAAATAATAACAGATATCCTAAAACTACATAAATAAGAAAATAACAATATATCATGAAATAACTAATTAAATGGTAAATATCTATCTTGATCCACCCATATGCTCCTGCATCAGACTCCCCTGGTTGAAAGAATTCTTCCTCGAATTCAAGCCTTTGATTGAGGAAAATCCAAGTAGAATATTCAATTGCTTCATATTAATTCTGGATCTTTTAGCATCCAATTGAAACCTTCCTTTCCAAATAAAAGATATTTGGAATATTTCGTTATTCTTGGCTTCTTCTTACTCCCTCTAACAATGCAAATGTTTCTTTCTAGAATCTTCAACCAATTGACAAAATCAACTAGAGTTTTGGCAACCTTCCAAGTGAAAACATTAATGCCCATAAAATCAATAATATCTTCGAAAGTTTTCTCAATTCTCATATCTTCACTGTTTTGATCAATAAATTGCTTTGAACACCCAAACAATTTTCATTGCAATTTTCACAGTTGCAAGGATCAAATATTGGAGGTAAATCCAAATTAAATAACTTTGATGAATAACAAGATGCACCAAATCCATTTATACCTTCAAAGACACAATAAGAATAATCGTGCCCCTCTGCACTTGACTAACACAGGAGAGCGCAATAATGAAAAGGGTTATTTCCCTCGTACTCCCCGTTGAGACTCCCACGACTTAGAGTGTTGATGCGAGCTACTCGGTTCAGATAAGGGTTCACGCATCCTTCCTGGTCAAAACTCTTACCTATCTGGGTTCGAACTTCAATGCGAGTGATGCGTAATGTAAGTTGCCGTAGCATCCTCCTAATTTCCTTCATGTCGTTGTAGTTGTCAACATGACCCTCCATCCAAAAACCTCCCTAAGAAAGCAGATCTTGAGTCGTAGCTCTGCTACCAATTGATGGAGATCGGGGTCAGGATGCAGGTCACCAACCACATACACGAGTACCGAAATTTAGGACTAGTGCAAACTCACATATTATCGTAGAAAATTCATGCCATAAATAAATTATTTCATTAATCATCAACATAAAACTCCCCTACAACTATTACATTAGCCTTATTTATAGGCTTTACAAGACTTGGGCACCAAGGCTACTTGGTCCAAAAGTAAACTAATTAATTATAAAATTACACATAAATAATAAAAGATATCCTAAAACTACCTAAATAAGAAAATAACAATATATCATAAAATAACTAATTAAATAGTAAATATCTATCTTGATCCACCCCTATCCTCTGCATCAATCATGAACGCGAAGAAAAGAGAAATATAATAATTGGGGTGTTAGCAACATGTTGAAGTGATAAGATGGAAACAAAATGGATAATTCCAAATTTGCAGGAAGATACCAATTCTTCTTTTCTGATTAAGCACAACCTGATAAAACCCATATATCATCACTTCCAATGTATCATTATCCACATATATATATAAATAATTGCTGGTGCTTTCACTTTCTGGTGTCTGTTATTATGATTTTGATTTGGTAGCAAATCTCTGGTGTGTATACTTTAGAGAACAAACACTTGGTTTTTTTTCTTCTCTTCACTGATTTTTCATTAAACAAATACTTGTGATTTACACGTGGACTGCCTGCTTTGGTGGAGACAAAAAATATGTTGTTGCAAATCAAATCCTGGATAAGTGTGTTCCACCTTTTCCTCACTTAAAATGCTCTTTACGAAGAATTTAACGTTAAAAAAAGAAAGTTGAAGTTGAATGTGCAGCACATCCTCAAAGCTGGGATGGTGCAGAATGACGTTTCTGGTGATCTTCTTAACAATAATATAAAAACTTTGTTAGGCTTCTTGGCATTAGCATGCATCATGGATCAAAGCCAATTGGTGAAGATTCCAGTGACTTTTTGCGTCCCAATAAGCAAGGAGCAAATTGCCATATTGTGTGGCATATGGATTTAGGACAGCAGTTCTTTTTTCCTGAGTCTTTGGGGATTGATTTATACGAGTAAAGGAGGCAGCAAGTACCAGGAAGATCAGTGGTGAGCTGGAAAGAAGAAATGAGTTTCATTTGTGCATATCCTAAAGCCCATATACAGTAATTTTTGTCTAATACTTTGCCTTTATTTTTAAATCACAGTTTGACGAGTGTATAATTATTATTATTGATTTTTTGATATTTTTAGCGAGTTATTTATATACATGCGTTAAACTGTGATTTGCAAGTAAGATTGATAGAGCCAAGGAGCCAAACAATATTCATGGATGTTTGTATTATTTAAGAATAATAATGTATCACTTGTTTGCACAATTTCGGGTGAGAAAATAATCCGCACTTCTTAATCTTATAAACTCAACAAAATTTAGAAGGAACCAAAATATTCATAAGCACAATGTTAGAATATATTCTAAATTCGATTTTCCCTCCCTTGAAGAGTAAAAAATACATATACATATACATATATATATATATATAGAAGATTATAAAATCCCTACCAGGCCATATTAATTACAACACAAAATGGTACGGTATATTCTTGGCATATACAAATCAGCAAGACCAATATTTCTGCTGCATGAACTTTCCCATCCTGTTTTTAGATTGCATCCAAATTAAATTCAAAAACTTGTGTGAGAATTGGGAACATCGCATGGAGAAATTTTTGTAGGTATCCGGTACACCAGCTGGCTATTCTTCATTTTGCTCCCAAAAACAGGTTTTTCTTGATTATTTTGGCTGGCCTTGGATCAATAAACCAGTCAGATCTCTTCACAGCTAACCCAAATTCCAGAATTGGTAATTAAGAGAAATAGACAAACCAAGAGACCATATTCTATGGTTTGAAAAACTTGAATAAAATAAATGTTGTTGGGATGGGACAGTGCAAATGTAAATAATGCATGGTGTTTGATAGGTTTATGTTGTACAAACAAAATAGCTGCATATGCAATTTGGAATTTTATATTTTACATATATATATATATATATGATAGAGCCTGTCAAGATCGTATATATATATATGATAGAGCCTGTCAAGATCGTGCATCCTGACGTGGTTTGATAACCATGCTACCCATCTGCCAGTTGCATTATATTGAGGGGAAGCAGCTAGGAGAGACTGATATGTACAGATGTTGCGAGATATTTGAACTTGAAACTTCTTTCAATAAGATAAATTGAGTGTTATTAGACTAATGACTATGTGTCGAGTGAGGTGTTTTATATTCCTTCGTCTTTGTGAAAAAAATTATATAGAGATATTTTGCTAACTTGAACGGACTCAATATATATCCAACTCATGATCAGAAGGAATTCGAGTTAATCTCCAGCTTACTAAATCCAACCAAAATCGAAGTTAAGCCTCAGAAAACATCTATATTATAATAATAATCTTATTTACTTGACCACAGATATGGACAAACACATAAAGAATATGCATAAGCACCCAACACGAATAACATGTGGCTTTTTTTTTTGGGGCTAAAGATAATTTATTTTAGCATTAAGAAATATGATATATTAGACAGCCGTATAACACTGTCCTTAATTCACAATTGAAAATCGAAAAGACACAAGCGCATTTCTAGCAAGAAAATGAAAAACTTTGTATTGGCAAAAAACCATTTCATATATTTCTATATGTGTGTATATGGATCTATCTAGATTTGATTGTTTTTTTTTTTTTTTTTTTTTTATTTTTTTTTTTTTTTTTTTTTTTTTTTTTTTTTTTTTTTAAAAAAAGGTTTTTTATGTGTTAGTTTTTTATTTTTTAGAGGGATAAATATACTAAATTCACATATATTACACAGATGCTAGAACTCGATCTCCTAAACCACTATATTAATGAATCATTTGCCTAAATTTGGTCATTAATATATTAGCAATGCTTAACAAACAATGAGAATTCATTATCAATTGAATTATACTATTCATTAGTGACACTAACAAATTAGAAAATATGGTGAAAAAAATAAAAAACCAACCCTCCAAAATCGCTCTCAATGGACACCGATGTACCCAACAGGCTTGGTCAACTTTCTTATAATATTATATCTGGAAATTTAACTTTCGTAAATAGAATGAAAAAAAATCCAATAATGCATGATTGAGATATTTCATGATTTTGGTCATTAAAATTTATCATGGACAGACAGATCTTATCCATACCTTGTTAATATGATATGATATGTACCAAGATGTGCATCAACTCCAGAAGCAAATTGTCTTCATTCATTCTCGTCATGTCTCTTTAATTTTTCAAGACGAAAATTAAAATTACAGAGAGGATCTTCTATGAATCCCCAAAAACGTACATCAAAATTTAATTTTACAAACAACATTAAAAAGGAAAATTAGTAAACCAAATATGCGGCCGAGCATACTTATGTCCAACATTTGCCAAAGCATCACCATTGCTCATTTTACTTTTCATGAAAATTTTCCTTTTTTTTTCTTTCATTTTTTATGATCGGGATTTGTTTTGTTTTTGGATAAAAATAAATTTATGTTGTAATTAGGTTGAGGGGGAGACTCATGGCACATAATTGAAGGTAACGTAACAGTCATGAATAGGCTGCCTATGCAACTAGACAACCAAGTCGTAATATATCCATAAAATTACACCATGGATTTTTGTCATCATCTTGAAGGGTAGATCTTGTCTGGTCTATTCTGTTTGTTTGCACCAAGGAAACTGTACATGCCACCGCAGAACCTAATTATTTAATTTGGTGTCAATCACATCTAAAAGCAAACCTAGATCCATGTGGATGAGTTATATACTTAACCCTAAACCTAATCCATACAGTCCGATGTAATGCATCATTTTATTTGACATTGTCAATAAATATAAAGAATGTTTTTGTAGAAATACTTACTTGTCACGAGAACATACTTTTCGTCTGTTTATCACATTACTCATAGTTTAATAGTAGGAATTGTCACATACAATTGCTTTAATAATACACGACTTCCCTCCACTTGATTAGTTATTTTATCATAAAAATAAAAATAATAGGGGCTAGTATCAGACATAAATTTTATGCTATTACAGAAAAAATAAAAAATAAAAGACTTGATGCCTTTCTATTAAACTAAATAAATAAATGAGGCCACAGTATGTAAACAATGATATGATGAACTTGGACTGCAGCCTTGAACTGGTACATTACATAATCCTCAATCTCATTCTTATTACTTAAATAAAAACTATTTAGGAACATCATTTCTTTTAAGAAAACACATAGAACATATGTTCTAATTTTTTAATTTTTTAAATAAAAAAAAAAAAAACTGGGGCAGACAGATTTTGAATTTATCAGTCTCCTCTCCCCCCCTTCAGCCTGATTGGTTAGGAAGTTTATTTTCCCAATGAGGTTCTGGGTTTACATGTGGCATATACCCATATGTAACATGTAACTTAGTTAGGAAGAAAACAAAGACTATTCAAAATCTGGGGATATTTCATAAGAAGCATTTTTGTAAACTTAAAAATCCATATGCTCCGACATATTCAATTAGAAGTAAATGCCTTATGAGAAATGGTTTAAAATGCCAATAAGATTTAGCCGAATGAAAAATGGCATTGATTTGCAGATTAATGGTCACAAATTCAAACCCCCATGATACTATGATAATGTGTGTGTAAAAATCCTCATCTCCAGTAATTTAGACTATCGCTTGTATTAAAGAAAAAATTAAAAAATCTTCATCAAACGCAACAACCAACCATAACAACATGTAGATCGGAGTGAGGAAAAAAAAGTTTGATACACCCTAAAAAGTGGCCAGAAATGGTGAAAAATAGCCCGTCCCAATGTCCCAGCAAGGACAGATCTAGGCACTAGTGCTAAATTTGGAGATGAAAAAAATTAATGTTAATTTTATAAGTCAAACCCAAGTTAATTAAAAATAGTCCACTCCTCTTTGTTGAAATTAGCCTATTACAAATGTAAGATTTCATCTCTAAAGGCACCCACATCACACATATCAAACATCATGTTTTTCTATTACCCATCCATGTAAGCTATAACTTTATATTTGAACTTGAGAGCTTAGAAGTAGTAGGTCTCATTCTCTTTAAAATTGTATCAACCTATATCCAATGGGTTCTTTAATATTAGTAAGTTTCTCTCTTACTTTTTGTTTAATTTCCAATTTCAATTGTTATTGTTAGCTTTTTATGATTTAGAGTTTGGGTGTTAAATTTTGGGGATTTTTTCCTTATGTAATATGCTAGGATTTTATTGATGACTCGTCAATTTTCTGATTTAATCTATTTATTATATGATCTCTGCTTTTATATAGCCTAGTTATCTCTTGGTTTTGTTGAATGCTTGTAGCTTATGATTGCGCAATTGTAGATCTATATGACTGCACTCCCTACGTCTATGTGTATTCCGATAACATTTAAAATTTGTTAATTGGTACCACTCATTTTCTTTGCATGTATAAAAAACCTATAGCCTATAGCCAATTAACCATGTAAATATATTTTTAAAAAGAAAAAAAAAGGTAATATAATAGATCTCCCATTAAAAAATATTAGTCCATCCCTATAAAATTTCCGGGTCCACCCCTGTGTCCCATAATGTTTTTCCTGGTTCCCCCGAAAAAAAAACAGCCTTCTTAGAAAAAAGTGCAATTATAACTCAAATGTACACATTCACTTATTTATTTTAAATCTTACAAAGAACAAATATTCTGTCATTTGAAAATGCTTTTACACTGCCAAGCAATCCCAAATGCACTCTAACAACACCAGCGCAGGAGTAGATTACCAGCTTCCCTTTGGTCACTTATTAACCGACTTATAATTACCTGAAATCCCTCAAATAATTAGCTAAAAACCACTCAAATAATTAGCTAAAATCACGCAAATATTTTTTTTAAAAGAAGAAAGAAACCCAGACCCACTTGAATTCAAAAAGACAAGCAATTATAGAAGCTGACACGAACCAGGGAGTTCTACAAACTAAATAGTGTATGAAAAAAGACTAAAGCAAAACACTTACAAGTCCACGTTCACAGAACCACAACCATACCATACTGACTGAGAGAGACAGACGTCTCTCTCTCTCTCTTCTCATATATATTGGTTGTGCAGACGATAAACGTACAGCAATATCTTCTCTCGCTCTGTTTCCCTTTGCCTCTGTTTCGCGTTGTTTCTGGTGCTTTTCTGAAAAAGCCGGAGTCTTTTCAAATTTTCTGCCTACCACTCTCGTGTTTCAACAGATTCTTGAATCCCAGAAAAAATCAAATCTCCTTTTCGATTCGCGGGAAACAAAAGCAAGGAAAATCCAAGGAAGAAAAAAGGTTTACTTTTCTTTACTTCTTTAGTTTTTTTTGTTGCTCTGAAGCTCCTGTAATAGCATGACACTTCTCGCCTTTAGAGATCTCCTTAGTTAATTTTTCTTTCTCGTATTCATTACTTTCCTCTGAATTGTACCAGAAGACTGTATACATATTCTGTCGCATCCCTTGTTTGGTTTCCGAGAAAACCGAGGAAAAACAAAAGAAAATTTCCGATCACATATCCTGATATCCGCTTTGCTAGTTCTTTGTTTTTCTTAAATTTTTATTACAGAATCCGGGCTTAGCTGAATTGGGTTTATTGTTTTGCTTAGGATAATGCATGAATCAGTGGTTTCAGACCTTAAGTGAGCTTTGTCTTTTCCTTTATTTTCTCGGAAACCAAACAGAGTGTAGCATGTAACATGCAGGGTCCTTTTGAAAACTTCAAACTTCAGCCAGCTAGAATTTCTGCTAAATCCGTGTACCATAATGTCTCTACCAATCTGAGTGTATTCTTTTACTAAACGATTTTTAGTTTTCTCTCTATGGTATGCAATTTTCGTGTTTTATTTTTTTTTTGGTCTTCTTTGTTATGATTTACATTTTTGCTAGCTGTTACTGTCATGTCATATAAGCTTATTTAGCTGGCAATATAAATTTTTTATTTTTTTGACTACATTCAGACGTTCTGTTAATCCCAAACAAAGAAACCATTATCTCTACCTTCTTAGTATCAAACAAAAAAGAAAAATGTGTCCCAAGCCTAACTTTGTTCTCATCCGATTAATATTTTTTTCACTGTTTTCCCACGTAGGCCAATTGCAATTTGGAAACCCTTTAGCCTGATCAAGATTTTCATTGGTTTCTTGGTGTTTTGGGACTTTCAGCAGAAGGTAATTGGCAGAGGAAGATTTGAAGAAGAAGATGAATAACTCAGTCTCGGATCGCAGTTTTTACATTGAGAGTGAAGATGAAGAAGATGAGGAAAAGGAATTCAACAAAAGCATAGAAGATGGAGGAAACGACTCTGATTCTTCTGAATCTTATACTGAAAATCAGCAGCAGAATATTCCCAGTTCTTACAACACCCAATGGCCTCAAAGTTACAGGTTCTCTCTCTCTCTCTCCCCCCTCCTCCTCTCTTCCTCTCTCTTTCTCTGTTAGGCTGCTTGAAATTCTCAGCTGGTTGTATAATTTTCCATGATTCTTTCTTGTCCAGTTAGCATTTTTACCGCAGAAATATGTAGTAAAGGAAAATTTACTACTTTGATATGTAAAATTTTGTGGGAGAGTAGTGACAACATGGTTTCTGCTGGAGAAAATGAATGGTAAAATTTGTTGGATTTGGTGATAAAATCTTACTTACTGAGAATAGAACTCAAAACATGTTACTATTGCAGTGGTGATTTACAGTCAACTAAAATAATATCCTAGAAACCTTATACAAAGTAAAAGAATCCGTTCCAATATTGAAGTAAAGTCGGCCAAAATTTTAGTTGGGTCAACGTCAATATTTGGCTGCTTTAACATTTTGGATTGTTTAGGCCAAAAGAATAAAACTTTAATTTGGGATTATTAGGTGGTAATGTAGGATGAAAAAGTAGTTTTGCTTTGTTGCTCTTTGAATCCTTCTTTTTAACTCGCTGGAAAAAGGGAGTGATTGATATGGCTAATGGCTCTATCAAAGGTCTCCACAGAAGTATAGGGTGGCTTTAGGTTTGTACTTTTGCTACAATGACTTGCTCTTTGATCTTTTTAGTTGTCTTTTTCGGCTCCATCAAATGTCTCTAGAGAAGTTTACAATTGATCAGTCAAATGAATGAAATAAATGATAAAAAAGTGACCGATTTGTTCTGTTATTCTGGTGATGTATTTTTTTCAATTTTAGTTCCAAATTAATACTTACTGTTTGTCATTTACTGTTTCAGGCAATCCATTGATCTGTATAGTAGTGTACCATCCCCTAGTATTGGGTTTCTGGGCACTCCTTCATTGTCAAGATTAGGAAGTTCATTTCTTTCCTCATCACTGACAAGAAGGCACACTCCCGAAACATTACCTTTCTTGACGAAACCCTCGGTACCGATAGTTGCGGATGAGCAGCAACAACAGCAACAGAGACGTAGTTCTCATTCTCTCCTTCCTCCTATTCATTCAAGGAGGTCTTCTATTAGAAAAGATGATAAACCATCCAGGGTTTCTCATGAACATCATCCTATTTCTCGCCACAGCTCATTCACACAAGCTGTGATTAATGGTAAGTATGGGCAAAGCACATGCTATTTAATTTATTCCTGTCATTTATGTTTTGTACACACATATTTGTTCATGCATATCCATTCACCCTCATCTGCAGATTATGCCTAGCACTGTTTAAGTCTAGAAATTATATCTCTGTCATCAATTAAATCTCTTTAACCATACATCAAATTCAAGTAATTTCTGGTGTTAAGCACTCCGAAGAGTGTGCTTATGTCTATGAAATGAACATCCATAGTCATGATTAGCTCAGTTAACTACATTTGGATTCTGATCTGCCTAGTAATTTCATACATATTATGATAAATAGTTATTGTGCCCTAGGATGTCCAATACATAATGAGATGATACTTTTTATGTGTTCTAAATGCAAATCCAATGAAATTATTCCAAGCAAAGGAAACCCAAATCCTGCACCTACAGACAGACAGAGCTTCATCATGTGTCAGCAAAAAAGTTGCAGGGACCACATAGTCCAGTATGATGGTTCTATCCTTTCAATTAAAATCAGTTTGTTACCCTTCACATGTCTCAAGATAAAGTAGAAGCTGTCTGTTCAAAACATTCTCCACTTACCACCGAAATTCTCTTTCTACACTGCAATTTTGAGCTTGTTCTGATGCTAACATGCATATACATGACATGTTTGCAGATGTATCTTAATTTAGTTTTTCAAAATCTGACCATGTTTTAGTTATTTCTTCATATCTTTGAATATTATAGAACTCGTCCGTAGATCACCACATTGCTTTGTCCGTACCCTATTGTTATCTTCATTTATGAGTTTTCAAACAAGCAAGACTCTGTTTATTTCACATGAGTTGATGAGGTGGCTCACCCCCGATTGCACATGGTGCACATGAAAAGATCTACTAAATAAGTACTAAAATTGTATTGGTACCAATTAACTTGTTTGGCTTGGCTTGTGTAGCTTTCAATGCAGATTTACAATTTGGATACTTTTTTTTTTAACTTTGACTATGAACATATTATATTGTTTGTAACATAATTCCGAGCTTGATCAGTGTCTACTCACCATTTCCTGTGATTCAGGAATTAATGTTCTTTGTGGGGTTGGAATCCTTTCCACACCATATGCAATCAAAGAAGGAGGATGGCTTGGGCTCTTGATTTTGCTTATATTTGCAGTGCTTTCCTTCTACACTGGATTACTCCTGCGTCGCTGCTTGGATAGTCAGCCTGGCCTTGAAACTTACCCGGACATTGGCCAAGCTGCATTTGGTACGGGAGGACGAATCGCCATCTCGGTAAGCTTACCACATTCATATGTTACTTAAAATTCTCCTTAGGTAGTTTGTATATAGTCATACTATTCGTACCACATTATGAATCACGTCTTTGATAGAGACGAGATTCACATGTATAAATGAATCCCATCTTCATTTGTCATGTTTGAGATGTGGTTGTATAAAATTTCATCAATGCTGCTATTTCTGTCGTTTTAACAACAAATAAAGTTAAAACGTCTATTAGAGAGTTCAGTTGAATATTTGCTATTTCTGTCGTAGTGATTTGTTTTTTTCTGGGTGCAGATAATACTGTACGTGGAATTATATGTAAGTACCAGCTGGCTTCACTGAGTGAGTATTTTACTTTATTTGTGCTTCACCTATATCTATGGTTTGAAATGGAACACATGGATGGGTGGACAAAAAAGGAGGTCGGGCTCCAGTGGGGCCCACCCTCATATTCTCGGGTCCCACATCTGGATCTGATTGATTGAGTTGAGCCTATAACTTGGGTCCGCATTTTTGGATCTTATTGGTCACTTGTTCTTGACTAGCCCATATCAGTGAAGCGACCATGTGGTTCTTGTCTTGGTGCTCATTTACCACAATTTCCCATTTGAATACAACAAGCAGTACCTGGTTGGCTGATTGTTCAGTTCTCATTTGATCTAAAAATCCCAGTTTCCTTGAAAATTATTTCTCTTCCAATGTTCCTGAAAAGAAAAGGCTTGATGGGTTCTTTTGGGATTTTCTTTAGACTTTTTTCTGCTTCTATTTAGGATGATGAGCATTTTTCAATGCATGAGATGATTGGAGTTCCTTAAATCATGCCAACATTAATCATTTTCAGTATGAATGACTGTTAGGACATCACATGAGACACACTGATGTATTTTTCTGATCTCTTGAGTGCAGCATCTAATTTAAATTGCACTCAAGGTTGCCTTGAAATCCATATCTGAAGGAGGTTCTTTGCTTTTTAGGGAACTTTAGACTTTGCCAATTAGAATTTGGTATGCAGATAATGACCAAACTGGCTGTTGCTGGACAAAATTATGGATTTTCTTTTGTTAGAACCAAGCTTAAATGGTTGTTTAGCCAATGACGCACTTATCCAAACGAAGGGGTTGTTTTGTATCATATATCCATCATCAACATTGTCATGCTGCTCTGAGGCAATGCATCAGTAATACTCATCATTTAAATGCTTGCATTTGTAAGGATTGATCATGCACATCTGTTAGAGCCATTAATATCACAGCCTTTGCCAGAAGACTTATGCAGCGTGGAATTGCGTGTTCTCAAATTAGGAGACCTGACAGGAAGAACATCCCATAATTTTTGTTGCAATTGCCATAAACCTGCAACAGCGTTTCGTTTTATAGTTAGAAAAACTTATAGCTTAGATCATGTTGATGTTTAACCTTACTTGACATTTTGAGTATTTTTGCTTAATAATTTTAAAGCACATAAATCACCTATTTTAAGTTTTCCTCTATTTGCAGGCTTGCTGCATAGAATATATAATTTTGGAGAGTGATAACTTGTCTTCACTATTTCCAAATGCGCACCTAAGTTTGGGTGGATACATGCTAGATTCTCGCATTTTATTTGCGATTTTGACCACCCTAGCTGTTCTTCCTACTGTATGGCTTCGAGACCTCAGTGTTCTTAGCTACATCTCAGGTGAGTTTGGCAATTTGAATATAATCCATGTATTCTATACATCTAAACATTCTGTGAAATGAATTTGCTTTGTCAAGCAATATTTTGATTATGAATAGGAATATCTAGACTAGTTGGCCAGACCGGTAGTGTCAAAGGTTCAAGTTTGTTGTCTATGAACCAAGAAAAAGAGTCTGTTATTCGAAATTGAAGTCCTGTTTGGGGCCAAAAATAGTTGAAGCTTTGGTGGCTGCAATCAAGTTTAGATAGTGAATTTGCTTTACCATTTTTCTCTCTTGAAGCTTCTGTAGTCTCTTGGACTGCAGTAAGATTCTTAACCAAGTGCATGCTATTCTCTTGACAAATTCTTACATTTTACTCGTTTTACTTCCAGCTGGTGGAGTTATTGCATCGATCGTGGTGGTCCTTTGCTTGTTTTGGGTTGGTCTAGTTGATGGAGTTGGCTTTGAGAACAAAGGAACACCACTGAACCTTTCAACTCTTCCTGTTGCAATGGGTCTCTATGGCTACTGCTACTCAGGACATGCTGTTTTCCCAAACATTTATACTTCATTGGCAAAACCAAACCAATACCCTGCAATCCTCTTAACATGGTAAACTAAAGATGCTCAACTATATTTCCATTTAATTTAATAATTAATTTCATCAGAATCTAGCCTTAGTTTTTTCACACTCGTACTGCTGTCTACCTTTTTGTGTGAAATTTCAAAATCCCCTTCACGTCTTTCAGGAACTGCAATTATTTGTGAGCAAATGCAACTTGTTATACTTCATTTATTTACTCTTTTTTTTCCATGTAGTTTTGTGATTTGCACTATTTTGTATGGCGGAGTTGCTGTCATGGGGTACACAATGTTTGGGGAATCAACAGCGTCACAGTTCACTCTCAACATGCCTCACGATTTGGTTGCCTCCAAGATTGCTCTGTGGACTACGGTATGCTCATTAATTTTTTTTTCATTATGGATGTTCTCTTGATTTTTTTGACTTTATTATTTGCACAATTATCAAGCGGGGAATCATGCTATTTTCCTTATGTGTTTTGCACAACTATCAACCAGAAAATCAACTTTTTATCCCCTCCGCCTCTGGAAAACCATGCAATTATCAAGCCGGTCCAGGCAGTTGTTGATAAATATGGATTTGTTGTTTCCCTTGTCCATTGGAGGTAAAGAAAACTGGGATTTGATTTTAGGTTTTAGGCTGTCGAGAGATTTTACCATTTGGCTAGTTGGCTAGTTCATTGATGTAGCCTGTAGGGATGGTTTATCCAACCTTTTAGCTCCATTTGATTTAGGCTTTAATCAATAGATTATAGAAGGAACAAAAAAATCTAGGGATGGCCTTAGGCTGCGTACGGTTCTCTTCAGCAGGTCCTTTTTATGCCTATTGTTTTTCCTTAGGCACCTCAAACATTAACTTTATGTTTTTTCTCAGTGTTGTGAACCTTTCCTTCTATACTTGGAATTAAAACTGGTGGCTAATACTATTATCGGGTATTTGTTCTTTTGCAGGTAGTCAACCCATTTACCAAATATCCTTTATTGCAAATTATGCAGATAATGAATGCCATCTGATCCACCAGCACACACGTATCACACAAACACACACACCCGTGCACAATTCATGCAGTCTAGAAGGTATTTTGTGCCTTCGACAAACATCAGAAAGAAACAGTAACACAACTCTCTAAAGCATACTGAACTTGAAGAATCATTTTTGTTTCTTTTGTGCCTATGTTGCTGAAAGTCAACGCGCACACACACACACAAGATAAAAATTGGAAAAGACTAGATATGTTTCTCCTTAATTAGAACCACGTATGCATTAACTATATCTCCAGTCGCAATGAGTCTGGAGGAGCTGGTTCCATCAAACAAGTCCCATATATATGCAATCTTAATTAGAACGGCACTGGTTGTCTCTACCCTGGTAGTCGGTCTCTGCATCCCCTTCTTTGGTAAGTCTCCCTTGAACTTTCTTTATTTATCATTTCCGTTTCGTTGCCATGGAAACTGTCTTCCTATACCTTTTGTCTCTTGGTAACCACATGTGCCACAGAGAAAAAGAGAACAGACATTAGATAGACAGGGAACAGCAGCATCTCACTTGGCATGCTACATTCACCATTACCATACTGTTATAACTTCAATTTTAACTTATCGCAGGTCTGGTGATGTCGTTCATCGGATCTTTATTCACAATGCTTGTAGTAAGTTTTCCTTTGTATTTGATTACAAGAAATATATTTTCAAATTTCAAATATCAATCTATGAGTTAAGTTACACTATATTAACAAAATGTAATGTTTGCAGACCTTGATACTTCCTTGTGCTTGTTATCTGAGTATCCTGAGAGGGCGAGTAACTCGGCTTCAGGTATGTCTGTTTCATACGCTTGTTAACATTGGTTTAGAAAAATAGGCAAACAAGAAACACAATCACATTGTTACATAGAAAAATGCTTTCATATAATTTCAACGTTGATCGAAGAATGTGAATTCCAAACCAACTCGTTAACATTTTAATCTGCTGTTTTTTTTTCTGCAATTGCCAGGCAACACTTTGTATTATAATCATTATAGTAGGTGTTGTATCATCTGCCTTTGGAACGTATTCGGCGGTTTCGAAGATTATTCAGAGCTTGATTCGCTGAAGTTTTTGGGACATTTTCTTGGAACAGTGAGAGAGAACATGATTATTAATGTATTGTGGATCCTTAGAGAGTATATATAATCTCTTGGTGTTCATTTCCAATTTTGAGCCGTCTTTGAATTTGTTGTATCCTGCAATAAATCCTGTCTTGTTTCCATTATTATTTGCAGTAATATTACATTTTTTTGATATTAAAAAAAAAAACTAACTAGATGCTTCCAAATTTCTATTAGTAAGACTCTGCATCGGTCTTGTCAAGTAAGAGGTCCAGTGATATTGATATCCATCGCTCGATTGATATCCAGAAATCCCAAGTTTTTTCAACTGTTTGCTCACAAGGTCCAGTAATATGAGTTCCTTCCATGATTTGTCAGTGCCACTAGTGACGAGCAACAGAACTTCCCCACTCTTCCTAAAACATATAGGCCCCGTGGGTAAAAATCTTTCTGGACCTTGTGGACCGAGAGTGATCAATCTGGTCCATGACTCCTTTCTGCCATACTCTTTCATCACCCATATGTCAAGAAAACAATCTTCATCACACCTGCGCCGGGTATTCACAGCGAACAAAGCAATAGATTTTGTGTCCCCTGAAATAGACAAACGCAATCCCAACCCAAAATTTACGTTGGATAACCTTGGGCATAAATATCTCACTGAACACCTCCTTGCCCAGGTCAAATGCCAATATAAAAGAGCAAAGATCACCACTATTTGTCCTACAGTCTACTGGCCAATGAAGAAAGGAAAACAATGGATGTAGCTCTTGCAGTCACCACTATAAGATTCAATACATTGATATACTAAAATGAGCGGGATTACATGCCTTCTCTTACATCGAATAAGACGAGACAGCTCAGTAAGCGAAGAGATTCCAATCAGATTTTGCGGAAAAATTACCTAGCATGTCTCCGTTATTCAAGGTCATTTGTCAGATGCTTTTCATTACCACTTAAACGAGGACGCTCTTCAATCAAAACTAGATAGAAAACATAAGCAAAAATCAATTAAAAATGGAGTTTCCTTCGATTCCTGAAGCCTCCACCGATTTGAATTTATCCCTTGCTCCTCCTTCAAACCAGGAAACAACACATGAAAATGTTGTGTTTCCACACTCCAATTTCCATATTGGTTAACTCTGTGCAAGCTGTAAATATGCACAATGAAATCTCATCAACTATGAACATGCTTACACCATATGCGAACTTGGTAATGGCAAGGATGTAACATCCCACATTGACCCACTGGGAAATTGCTCGCAAGTTCCCAAAAACAAAACCATGAGGGCAGGGGGCCCTAAACAGACAATATCGTGCTACGACGGAGTTGATTTAGGAATGTGACAATTTGGTATCAGAGCCACTTTGTCGTGTGGTGCGAGTGTGCCGACGAGAATGTTGGGCCCCTAACGGGAGTGGATTGTAACATCCCACATCGACCAACGGAGATGAGGTGATATGCATTTTATGTACATGCCTACGAGGCCTTTTGGGAGCTCATTGGCTTCAGAGTCGTGGGAACTCCGAAGTTAAGCAAGTTTGGACTAGAGCAATCCTAGGATGGGTGACCCATTGAGAAGTTGCTCGTGAGTTCTTAGAAACAAAATTGTGAGGGCAGAAGGCCCAAAGCGGACAATATCAGGCTATGACAGAGTCGATCCCGAGATGTGACAAAGGAGGTCTAACAAGACTACAGTGAAAGAGACCAATTTTTCCAATGCTCACTGTGCTGCTTCGGTAGCAAATGTAGGATTGCATCTGCTTGCGAGGAACCAAGAGTGTGCCACATTGACTGCTCAAGTCGCATCCTTTAAGGATGAAATTGCCGAATTGCATAGGCTCCTCAAACATGCAAACCGACATATAGAAGCACTAAAAAAGAAAATTCGAGACTTTGCTGACCTGGTGGAGGTCTTACAAACTCTTGTATCAAAGAAGAGACAGATAAGGATTTGAGATGAAGAGATGCAATTCTCTTTGATAATGAACATGAGTATTTTCTATTAACTATGAATTAGAATATTATCGTTTCATTTCGTTAGGTCTATTTTCTATAAATTTTTTTTAACCTTTTATACGTTGACCCCTCGAATGTAAATTCCTGGATCCGCCGCTTCTCAGGTTGTTCCAATAATGAGACAACTCACACAACCTTATAGTCATTGGACCTAGCATCAAAATCGAATCCAATCGAAGCATTGTATTCACCGTGCGTTTTCAATCTAACACTAGGCTTGGGAAGGGTCACTAACTTTCAAATGGTTGGGTTCCATATGAAGAAGTTGTAATGATAATCGAACATACCATCCGCTAGGCAGACTAGCCCGTCACAAGTGCTGACCACACGAATACATAAGTTGTTTTTCTTTTCTTTTTTCTGGACACAACTGGAAATTCTATCTTGGAGTTGTATTGATCAAAAGCCTGGTTATCATAATACACAGAGTGAACCTCGTCTATTATCTTGGAGACGACCCTTTGGCCGAAGATGGGGGGCTTCTCCATAGCAGAAACTTTGTGGAGTTGGAGGAGGTGACTGTCACAGTCATTCATATGGGCGCGAATAAAGCTCTAGTTTATGATCATGGACCTCCATGTCTTGCACACTGAGGTGCATTTGATGAGAGATTTGACGGGCAGCCTAACGAGGATATCTTGTATGATTTCCTCAGGAATATTTACTTCCTGCATCCCTTGTGCGATATCTTGTATGACATTGGTAGTATCCATGTCTTGCACACTCAAATAGTTGTAACAAAATTTCTGGTTCTGCGTTTGAGAAGATGACGAAAGAAGAAGAAGAAAAGAGTAGAACCTTTCTTGCTTGTAGGATATTACTTGTGAAACAGAATATATGAGAGAATTTTGGAATTTTATGATATGGAAGTATTTATAAAGATGTACAAAGTGGTAAACCTAAAGGGTTTTTAGAAATCTGAATTACAATAGGATTATACAAAGGGTAAGTAATTACACAGAACCAAAAAAAAGGAAACAAAAATATATTAAGATGTACAAAGTGGTAAACCTAAAAAAAGGGTTAGAAATTCTAATTACAATATAGGATTATACAAAGGTTAAGTAATTAATTACACACAAAAAACAAGGAAATTAAACATATTCTCCATGGGGTCATGCTAGGGAGATCAACTTTAAATACCAACTTGTGTACCATCTCTCTAATAGAGCGTGGACATTTTCCTTCTTGAAAACATTCCTTCCCATACATGATAATGTGGGTCGGCTTACATTTTGCCTCACCGTTCAATAAGTTAGTACCATCCTCCATTTGACTGGTGTGTTGTGGCTTTAAATTGGGTTTGGATGCTTTTGGTTACACACTTTTTAAACATAACATATGCAATTGTTGCTCATGATCTAAAAAGGCTAAATATTCTATTATTTTGTTAATTTTATTATTTTAATTCATTTTGGATTCCTAAGGTTTATGGGGTATTTAAATCAACTTTAAACTCGTGGCTAGGGTTATGTTATGTTATTTCAGATTATCAATAAATTTGAGGTTTTCTCATTCTTCCTGGTGAATTCCACAGTTGTGTATTTTAGACTACAGTTTTAGTCATTCGATTGTCACACAGCGTCAAAATTCTTTCATATAATTTCGATGTTGATCAAATAATGTGAATTCCAAACCAACTTGTTAACATTTTAATATGCCCTTTTTTTTTCCTGCGATTGCCATGCAACACTTTGTATTATAATTGTTATAGTAGGTGTTGTATCGTCTTCCTTAGGAACGTATTTGGCGGTTTCGAACATCGTTCAGAGATCGATTCACTCAAGTTTTTGGGACATTTTCTTGGAACAGTGAGAGAGAACATGATTATTAATGTATTGTGGATCCTTAAAGAGCATAATATATAATATTTTCATTAGAAAAAAAAGAAAAGAGAGTATATATATCTTGGTGTTCATTTCGAATTTTGAGCCATCTTTGAATTTGTTGTATTATGCAATAAATCCTGTCAATATTCCTAACTAGATGCTTCCATATTTCTGTTAGTAAGACTCCGCATCGGTCTTGTCAAGTAAGATGAGGCTCTCTTTATAAAAACCAACGTCGCAACATCGATATCCATCAATCCCCAGATTTTTAACCTGTTTGCTCGCAAGGTTTAGTGATGCTAGTTCATTCCTTGTGTTGTCGTCAGTGTGAGTGATAAAAGTCTTTCTGGACCTTGTCGACCGAGAGTCATCAATTTCGTCCATGACTCCGTTCTGCCATACTCTTTCATCACCCCATATATCAAGAATACAATCTTCATTCCTGTTATCCACCTTGAACAAAGCAATAGCTTTTCTGTCCCCTGACATAGACAAACGCGATGACACCCCGGAATTCCATTTGATACCCTCGGGCATAAATATCTCATGGAACACCTCCTTGCCCAGGTCAAATGCCAAAATAGAATCACAAGGATGATGATAATCATTTGTCTTATAGCAGATTACAGACCAATGAAGAACCCCATTAACAAAAACATTGTTTGCAGCTTTTTCAAGCCTTAGACATCTAGGAGAAACAACACCAAGACTGCTCCATGTGCCCGTGGCTAGGGAATAAACCTCCGCTAGAGTTTGTAACCCACGCATGAGCGTTAAAGTGACAACTAGTACAACCTTATAGTCATTGGTCGTAGCATCAAAACCAAATCCAATCGAAGCACTGTACTGGCCATGGGTATTTAATTTAACACCAGGCTCGGGAAGGGTCACGAACTTTCTAATGGATGGGTTCCATATGAACAAGTTATAATTGTAACCGAAAAGATCATCCGCATCATCCACTAGGCAGACTAGCTCGTCACAAATGCCGGCCACACGAATACATGAGTCGAACGTTTTTTCCCTGACAGCATCTGGAAATTCTATCTTGGAGTTGTACTCGTCAAAAGCCTGGTTATCATAATGCACAGTGACAACCTCTATTACCTCGTACTCTATCTTGGGCACGGCCATTCTGTCTGGTCTTCTCCGTAGAAGAAACAGAATATCTGTGGACTAGGAGGAGGTGACTGTCAATATTATTCTGTGGACTGAGATGGGCGCGAATAAAGGGTTGGTTTATGATCATGGACCTCCATGTGTTGCACACTTAGGTGCATTTGATCAGAGATTTAACGGGTAGCCTAATGAGGATCTCTTGTATGATTTCCTCAGGAAAAGGGTGTGCCGTCGTTGCTTCAAAATTCAATTCGTGCGTCCCTTGTGTGATATCCTGTATGGTATCCATAGTAATGGAGCGGCGAAGCTTCGTGTTCGTTGTGCTGCGCTAGAGAAGGCAAGTAAAGAAGAAAAGAGTAGAACAAAGTATATGAGATAATTCTCTGATACATTGATAGGTATTTATAAAGATGTATAAAGTGGTAAACCGAAGAGGGTGAAATCTGAATTACAATAGGATTCTATTTCTTTTTTACTGACATTTTTTACAAAAGAAAAGGTAAAAAAGTCAGTAAAAAAGTCCCGATGTATGTTGGCATTTTTAAAAAATCCCTCCTCTATTACTTTTTTACTGACATTTTTAAAAAATCCCGAGTATAGCCGTGCGGCTATAATTTTTATCAAACCAGAAAAACCGAGCGGGACTGAGATGTGCAAAGGTCAAACACATTATAGCCGCTCGGCTATGCTATTTATACAAAAACTAAAAAAAGCGACCGCAGTAAGGCCGACCCGCTATACGCATTGAAAAAAATATATATATCCCAGTTATAGCCGAACGACTATACTATTTATAAAACTTAAAAAAAGAAAAGGACACGCCTAGCGCCCGCCTAGATATTCGGCTATACTAATTTTGGGAAAAAAAATCCAGAGTATAGTCGAGCGGCGATACTCCTTTTTTTTAAAAACATCCCGGGTATAGCCGCGCGGCTATACAAACGAAAACAGTATAGCCGCTCGGCTATACGACTTATAAAAAAACTAAAATTGAAAATATTAATAATAATAAAAACCAATCATTTGGGCCTGGTGCAAACGAAAAAAAGTACAAAGGGCAATCTTTAACTGGGCTAATTGTGTGTGTTTGGGCCTTCATCAGACACCAAAAACAAAAAACAAAAAGAGAACCAAATAATAAAAATGGCGGCTGTTATGTTGGTTCTTAACGAACTTCAGTCCGACGTCGCTTCAGCAAATTTGACCGTGCCCGCTGGATCGAACAGTCCGGGTGACTTTTATTCCGTTGGTTTGGTGAGGCCATGTGGGTCCCGCTACCCTCCAGCCACTAACGCCGTCAGGAGCCGCTATTTTCCGTGCGGCCAAACACTCCTTTCCGCCGTCACCTCAAATTCTCCGTCAATGGTCCTAAATAGTCCCAAGTCGAACGGTTGTTCTCTCTTTCTCTGTTCGACATGTCCGTGGTACCTACCCACCCTGCTCTCAGGCACCTGGGAACCAGGGCCTCACGTGACCCGTCACGTGACCCTCCAACTTCACCCAAACTGAAAATTTCAGTCTCGAGCTTCAGGCTCAGAGGGCTAACTCGCTACCCGCCTTCTTCAAATCCTCTGGTCTTATCCCATAAATTTGATGAAATTCGGCGTCCAATTAGGGCCGTAAATGCTCTGAGCCAAGAAGGGTCGTTACAAGAGCTCGATGATACGCCGGTCTCGGTGGAGCTCGTGCCGATTTCCGGCGAGACCCAGTTCGACCGGGTCATGGCCCAAGCGCAGCAGCTGGAGGAATCGGTCGTTGTCGTTTGGTAAGTTTCTGGGTTGTGATGGGATTTTGATTTGGTGAGGTTTTTGGGTTTTTGTTTGGTTGGTTCTTTTCATTTGGGTTTGTTTGGTTGCTGAGAAATGTAGGGAGAGAAAAGGTGGAGGCTTTGACTTGCGTTTCCATGCTTAAGCGAAAGGAAATGCATAAAACTTTATTGGGAACTTGTGATTAAATTTTGCAAGCAGCACTTCACTTCTTCCATTGTTAAAAGATTCTTTATAGTTCAGAAATTTTCTGATTTGGCATTAAGAAATTGGTAGATTTTCCTTCTTTGAAATGAAACTTCAATTGAAATGTCTCTGTAGGATGGCAAGCTGGTGCAGAAAATGTATATATTTGAAACCAAAATTGGAGAAGCTGGCAGCTGAGTACTATCCAAGGTTAGTTTGGCACTAGTTCACCCTCTATCCAGTAGTATAAATTATAAATCATTTTTCAGAACGTTGATATGTCCATCTAATTAAGTTCAATTTTTCTGAGTTCCATCTATGCGTGCATTAATGAAAAGGTTTTGAATCAACTTAAATCTTCATTCTTTTAGTTTGCCAATTGTCAAACTCTACTAAAATTCTGATGAGCCATTCATGGAGAGATTAGAATAAAGCTTCAAGCTCTACTAAAATGCTTGCCCTTCTGATATCCCTGCCCTTGTAAAAGCATCATTCCTGGTGCTCAACTTATGATGATATAACAGTGAGATTTCCATATGCAGTCTGCAAAAGTGGCATTAAAATTATAATAGAAAAATAAATGTGTGAAAAAGGCAGAACAAATTGAAACACATTAAATCTCTCATTTGTATATACAGATAAGTATTTTAAAGCAAAGTGAAACTTGTCATGCATTCATGTAAAGAATTACACACATGTGTACATATGCATTCTATGTGCTTAGATAATTCAATAGTATGTTATTGTTCTTGCTGGATTGTAACTCTGCAGTGGAGAATAAATCTAAATCTTAATTAATTTCGTGTAGATTGCGGTTCTATTCTGTTGATGTCAATTCAGTTCCACACAAGCTTGTTGCTCGTGCTGAGGTCACTGTAAGTTTTTCATCTCACTTGGAAGAATATGTCAGTATGGCTTGTATTTGAATGGAAGTAGGGTCATGTAAGTTTGGGCTGAACATCAATTGTAAAGTGTATAGCTTCACGGTAATGAGTAAAAGCCAAATATTCAAAATCTTCTGTGGGATATGGACGTGGCTTTTTCGTCATTAGCTATGGAAATCTTAGTAGCTGATCAGTGAAGTGATATGCAGTCTTCATAAGTTTGTGGTTTTGACTTTTGAGTTAGTTTGGTAGTTGTGGACATCATTTGAAGTTAATGTTGTTTGCACTGCGCATGCAAGTGAGAGGGAGGGAGGGAGCTGGTGGGGTGACTTGCCAAGCTATATGAGTTTTAGACCTTGTTAGCTCCACCAATGTTATCTAGGTCATCTTTATATGATTAAGTCTTTACTATAATCCCATGTATCTTGTGTTCTGCATTTTAAAGCCATCCTTTTTTTTTTTCCGGTGCATAACATGATGGGCTTCCGAAGTCTGTATTTCTGTGATCATAAAACCATGGGAATGCTTAAACTTGTCAATTGTATTATTTTTGCCTTGCTTCAGCCATATATGTGAGAAGATGTTCACTGACAGTTGTGTTTTTTTGTGCTATTTACACGGCGGGCTTTCATATCTGTGCAGAAGATGCCAACTATACAGGTAAATCCTCTTTGAGGAACTTGGGATGTTTTTTCTCCCCCTTTCTTTTTTCTTCTCTGTAGTAATCAGGATGATTATGTTACAGCTGTGGAAAGATGGCAAGAAACAAGCTGAGGTGATCGGTGGTCACAAGGCATATTTAGTCGTTAATGAAGTTCGTGAGATGATTGAAAATGAGGATGACACGTGAGGTTTGGTAACATGGACAATCTTATAATTCACAGATTCATTAACATGAAAAATCAAAGTTGTAAATTTTTTTTCTTCATAAATATATAAATATACAAGATTTAGGGTACAGAATAAATGGAAAACTGGTTCTTTTGTTTTCAGTAAGAGGTATCCCTGGCTTAGCCAAATACAAATCCCCTATTAGCTGCATAACCTTGACTTTTCCCCTTGTTGTGTGTGTTGGAACCCAGCTTTTGCTTGGATAGTCTCCTTTTACGTCAGCACTACGAAACACAATGCTCACGTTATATTTGATCTGGAGGAAATTTGTCACCTTCTTTCAACCTCAAGTTCTAAATCAACCAACAAGAAAATCGCAGGGGACTGCTATTTTGACAGATGATGATCTGCAGACTTGCTAGATTCTTACTTGAAAAACTAGTACCACACACTTTTTCCTACTTTAAGAGTATAGAACATAAAACATAAGTTGAGAGCAGAAACCCATATATTTTTTCTTGGCCAGCCATATGCAGAAAAAACAAGCAATAACAAAGAATACATCTACTCATTTTTAGAGTAGATTCCACTAGAATAATTGCATTGAATTTTTCTGTCCTCAAAATTACATTGGTCATTTACAGAGCCGAACACTCTAAACTCCCAATAGAAAATCTTCAGAACTATTGCCTCCATTAAATTCAACCTCCAAATTTTTTCAACAATTGTGATGCAGAACTTATAACGCTGATGGCCAAGTACAAAACGATAGGTGAGTATCTAGTGTTGTAAGTCATGACCAAGGACAAGCTTGAGCCGACGGTCTTTTCCTATGATTTTCTGAATGAATAGCTTGAGCCAATGGTTACCTCTTGGTATTTTAATCAGGATGAATAGTTTTCATCAGGGCCCCAATCCATTCACGAACTGTGATGTGGGTGCATTTGGCCATGGTGGGTTCTGTGATGTGATGCCGATGATGGTGGTTTCAGGGCAATGGAGTGTGTGGTAGTAGATGAGTGCATCCCAATTCCCATACGTGTGCAGCAAATGCAATGCAAAGTTTGTGGCCGTAGTTTCAAATAGGTAGCAAAACTAATGATATGAAGACATTAAAAAACAGTAACAACCGCAGAGCAGCATTTAAAGCATCAGAGAAGCTGATGTTGCTGCAGACAGGGCAGCAGCAGCATGCAACTACGAGAAGTCACAAACTCACAACACAAATAGGTAGCAAAACTAAAGCAAACTTTCTTCATCTTCTACATTTTCGTTTGTTTGGTTAAGTTTGCAGCGCGGGCATCTAAATGGTTCAAACTTTGGACATTGAGCAGAGCTGAAAAAGTCTCCATAATTAGCTCCAACGTTTTGGTTTTGTTTGGTTCACCATTATGTGAGCTTCGGTGGGCTGGGACCCATAGAGGTTGCCAAAATTCTTATCCTATTTAATGCTAAAACCCTAATGCATAAGAACTTTTGTTTGATAATCTACGTTAAACTAATCTAAACTACGAGGAGAGAGATTTGAACTTAGGTACATAATGGAAAGCACATTCACTCTAGTCAACTTGGCTAAGTCTATATCGAAGGAAGACTTTGACCATTTAGCTTATCACCAAAATTAAAACCTTATATTGGCCTGACCATTTAATAAATTTCGGGTTCACAACACTCCAATTGTTGCACCCAGTTTAGTAGGCTAGGAAAATTTTATAAAAATTCAAGGTCCTCAAGGAAGCAAAATTTTGTACACATTTGTTGTTAGTGCGAGCTCAGTTTTCTCAAAAACGATGCAAGAAGTTTGTAGTTCAAGTGGTTAACAATATTTACCTATGCATTCAATGTCATAAGTTCGATTTCCCCTTCTCCAATATCACTTGCATAAAAATAAAAATAAAAAACCTCTAAAAAACTGTAGACTAGTCAATAGATACATAAAACATCTCATTTTCCGCTTTAATAACAAGCAAACTTTTGGGGAATGCATTAACAATAATCAATGTTTTTTTTGTGAGAGTGCAAATAACATTACGATTGCAAGAGTGTGAGCCATTGCCTAAATAACATTAGAAAAGTTCAGACATTTACTTGTATTTATAAATAAATAAATAAATAAACATAAAGTGACATTGCCTAGAAAAGAAAAACATAAAGGTGGGACAAAATAAATCACAAAGAAACCAAATAAGGAAAAAACACAACTAAAAGTGAAGAAGCCAACAAATAAGTTTGTCACAACGCCCATGCACGTACCCCCTCCCCTGCACCGCCCATCACCGTCCATCCCTTGAATCCGACGGTCGACGTTTCCTCTCTTCCCGCCATGTCCCCACCAAAACTCTCTCTCTCTCTCTCTCTAAAAATTAAAAAGTGGCCGTTTCGAAGGATATCAGGCCCACACGATCTCATATCCAATCTTAGCTTCTCTCTCTCTCTCTCTTCTTTCTCTCTCTCTCTGTAAAGTTTCTCTCTAACCCTTGGAATTGTTCCAAAATTCGTTTACCTAGATTTTCGATCACACAAAAACCTTTAGCATCTCATACATTCATACATATAAAAGGTATATAACTTTTGTTTATACATATAAGAATTGGAGCTCCTTTGCGATCAATTTCGCGACGTAAGTCCCTCCCTCCTCCTCTGCGACGAAGTTTGATCCCTGCCATGTTCCAGTAGCGATTTCAATACAATTCACGAAAATTAATTTTCGACAATTCATATTGTTATTTGTTATTGATCATATGCATGGGTTTGCTGATTTTGATATGTTTCATTATTTCACGCAGTTAGCCGAGGATCTGTTCGGGCTTTGTTTCGTATTGATCGATGTGAGGATTTCTCCTCACGCTAAGCGGTATGTAATTATTGGTTTCAATTTTTTATGTTTTGGAATGCTCAATTTTTGCTTTGGGAAACAAAAAATGGCTGGGAGGGGATGTCATAATGGGATTGAATTATACAATTATGTTTTTTTGTTGCATTTTGGTCCTTCTAATTCAAAAGTTAGACCTTTTTTTTTTGGTCGAAAAGTTAGCCGTTTATGTACCCATCTTAACGATTTTTTTATTATTGAAGCTGAAAGTAGCTGAATTTTTTAGAATTCAAATTGCTTATATGTTTTTGAGAGTTTAAATTTAGATTCTTTTGGTGGTTTACTGTGTTTATATACTGTTAATTTGTGTTTTTGTTTGTGATGATTTAGAGGTTTGGAGATGGCTACTGGGAGTAACATAGATATGCTATCAACCCTAGATAATAATCTGCAAAGACCCAATGGGAATTTAGAAGATGCTTTACAGAGTGAGCTTGAACTGATTTTAAGAGAGCAGCGAAATCAGCATGCCATTCATCGGGATAGGGATCTGAATATATATAGGAGTGGCAGTGCCCCGCCAACTGTTGAGGGATCGCTAACTGCTGTGGGTAGTCTCTTTGGGAACTCTGATTTTAGGGATGTCACTAGTAGGATTAGTAATAACAATGGGGTTTTGTCTGAGGATGAGATTCGATCGCATCCTACTTATCTTTCGTACTACTATTCACATGATAATATTAACCCAAGATTGCCTCCACCATTGTTGTCAAGAGAGGATTGGCGTATTGCTCAAAGGTTTCAGGTCGGTGGGTCTTCTTTTGAGGGCATTGGGGACTGGCGGAAGAAGAAATTGGTAGATGACGGTGATAGTTTGTCGCTGTTTTCAACACAGCTGGGGCTTTCCGTGCAAAAGGCAGAGAATGATTTGATGGAGTTGAGGAATGGCAATGGAAGCAATCTCCCTAAACAGACTTCGTCTGAGTGGCTTGATAGAGGCTCAGATGGTTTAATTGGATTGTCGACAAGTGGGCTTGGTGCAAGGAGGAAAAGTTTTGCTGACATTTTACAGGTAATCAGCAGTACAGTCAAGACTTCACTCTGTAGCATTTATGTAGTTCTTGGTTAGACTTCGATTGTATGGTTTTCTTTCTGGATTTTGTTTGGATGCCCTTTAACAGCTAATATTGGTATTTGTTTATTTCTCACAATTTGTATACTTGGGCATCTTCATGTTGTTGATCACTGCCCCCTTTTGATTAGTATTGCTCTTGTGGGGAGGACTAGATGTCGGTTTGAAGCTTGCACACAGTTTATGCATACTGTCATTTTAGATTTGATATTTATTGCATACTACATGTGATCACACATTTCCATAAGTCCTGGGACACCCATATAGGGATAAAGAGCATGGATGTAGCCAAGAGCATGATCCTACTCTTTAGAATCACTGTTGCAACTATCTGAACTGACTTCTGTTGGAAGTGCTAGCTTTTATATTGTATGCACATGACATAACAAATGCATCACGTTGTGCTAAGTTCTCATTTCTTTTTGCTTTTTCCTCTTCCTTTCTAGATATCAAGAAAATGCAGATGTTTATTAGTTCTTCCTGGTTCTTATGCAGAAATTTTCATCATCCGGATTCTTTAAATTAATATGCTTGTATTTTCTCTTTGCCAAATAAATTCAAACGATGTGGTTTGGTTTGCCATGCACAACTACTGTGATGAAGTGCTTGGTTGTTTTGTTCTTGTTTCATCTATTAGTGCCCTGTTTCATTGATAACTGGCATGTGCTGCAGGAAGGACTTGATCCACCTGCTTCCTTGACAAGGCCATCAAGTCGTATTGCTTTTAGTGATATCATGGATTCCACAGGCATGGCTGATGCCCGGCCAGTGGGGTTATGTAATGGAGTGGAGTCTGCAGAGGGCTTGCATAATGGAGCAGCTTCATGTGGCCTGGTGGGAGTTCAGAGCCATGGTACAGCAGCTTCTCATTCCTTTGCATCTGCTGTGGGTCCTTCTCTGTCAAGAAGCAGAACCCCTGAACAACTATTTGGGAGGTCTCCCAGTGCTGGTCTTCCTCCTGTGGGGAGTAGAGTATTTCCTGTTGAGAAGAAGAATGTTGCAGGTCCAGATATGCCAAAGGATAATTCTTCTGGCATGAATGATCTGGATATTGCAGCCAATTTATCTGGCTTAAGTCTGTCAAAAGGTAGATCTGTAGATGAAGATAGCCATATTCAGTCTCAGCTTCATTTGGATCTTGATAAACAGCGTGATTTTCTGTTCAACATGCCAAATGGTCATAATCAGAGGCTGCAGCAGCAACTGATAGAGAAGTCAAATGCTGAAAGTTTTTCTCTTGCTTCAAATTATCCTCATTTAGCAAAAAAAAATGGGATCATGACAAACCGTAATACATCTGATGGGCAAGCTAATTTTGGCAGAAGAACTTCTTCTGCCAGTTTTTACTCAAAAGGGAGTTCTTCAGGCTTTGGAACTTTGGAAGGATCTAATGTTCATTACCAAGATGCAAATACTCCAGGCATGGAGTTTCATGGCCATTCTGGGGCCTATCCTGTGAATCCAAAGTTGAATATGACAATTAATAATCATCTTGATGCAGGTAATTATGTTTCTCAAATTTCTTCTGCAAATTTTTTTTAATAAAAAAAACCCTCATAGTATTTGTTTGAATAAGTTAATTAGCATTGACAGTTCTCTCTCCCCCCTCTCCCCTCATTTTTTTGGAGTGCAGCAGCATTGCCTGGTAGTGGTGATGGGCATAGTATGAACAGACTGGGAAACAAAGTAGGGTCTGGTCTTCATTCTTCAGTTATGGATCCATCTTATATTCAGTTTTTGCAAAGAGCTGACTATGCAACACGTAATGTTACTAGTCCAAGTGGTTATCCTCCCAGTAAAAATCACTTTGGCACTTTGCATGGAGACTTAGAGGGGCTTCAGAAAGCATATCTTGAGGCATTGCTTGCTCAACGGAAGCAACAGTACGAGTTGTCACTTTTAGGTAAATCTGGTGGATTTAACCATGGGTATTATGGAAATCCATCATATGGGCTTGGCATGACATATCCAGGAAATCCAATGGCAAATTCTGTTCATCCTTCTGTTGGATCTAGTAGTCCAATGTTTCAGAATGAGAAGATTGAACGCTTTAATTCAATGTTGAGAAGTTCAATGGGAGGGTCAGTTAGCTCCTGGCAATCAGAGATTGGACATGACCTAGAAGGGCGACATGCATCATCATTATTAGATGAGTTCAAGAACAATAAGAATAAGTCTTTTGAACTTGCAGACATTGTTGATCATGTAGTTGAGTTCAGGTACTTATAATACTTTCTTTAGTGCATATTCTTCTTAGGTTGTTTTGGCTGCAATTCTGACTGCACCATCTTCTCAAAATACAGTACTGATCAGTATGGAAGTCGCTTTATTCAGCAGAAACTTGAAACTGCCACTGTGGAAGAAAAGATGAAGATATTTCCGGAGACTATTCCTCATGCTCGTACCTTGATGACTGATGTATTTGGAAATTATGTCATACAGAAGGTATAAGCTTTGTATTTCAATACTAAAAAATGCAATCCTTACAGTTCAAAACTATTAATTTAATTGTGTGAATTTGCAGTTTTTTGAGCATGGTACAGAAAGCCAAAGAAAGGAATTAAGCGGCCAACTTACTGGCCATGTTTTGCCTCTCAGTCTTCAAATGTATGGTTGCAGGGTGATTCAGAAGGTGATTTTCCGATCCTCAAATTTTGATCTTCTTCCTATTTCTATCCTTTTAGTAATGTCTTTCTAGATGTTTCCTCAAAATTTGCATTAGCATTGTTATGAAATCAGTTTGTCCAGTTTTTGCTTTGTGGAACTCTTTCTAGCATAGCATTTGTTGTTATTCTTGCCACTTAAGTTCTTCATTTCGAAAATTATATGCTATAATGCATTTGACTATTTTGTTTCACGAGATGTTTATCTCATTGGACAAGAGAAAGATAAAGTTGTAAAGATGAAAAAAAGTTTTGGAAAAATTCAAGAAAGATGCCCTCCCACATGTTCATGCTTGTGTCTTGTATGACCCTCATTTTGACTGATGACTATGTGCTGTTATGCTCTCTCCTATGATATGGAAAGGACACTTTGGTGGATGGAAGAAAACAAAGAGCCAATCATATTGTTTAAGAATTGTTTAAGCTTGGTATGAGATGAAGCATACTGGGAAAATAAGTTGTAATGCTCTAAATTTTACCATAGGCCTTGGAAGTGGTTGACGTGGACCAGCAGACTCAAATGGTGGCAGAGCTTGATGGTTCAGTCATGAAATGTGTCCGTGATCAGAATGGGAATCATGTCATTCAGAAGTGTATAGAATGTGTCCCTCAAGACCAAATTCAGTTTATCATTACATCCTTCTATGGGCAAGTTGTCACACTTTCCAGCCATCCTTATGGTTGCCGTGTCATACAGGTTAGTTGTTGGCATGTTTTTTCCTTTTGTAGGGAATTGTTATGTTTACTAGTGCAAGTCTCTTTTGATGCCTACAGAGGGTTCTGGAACATTGCGATGATTCAAATACACAACAAATTATCATGGATGAAATCATGCAATCTGTATGCATTTTGGCACAAGATCAGTATGGAAATTATGTCATTCAGGTATTTTTATACTCTTTAGAAACTGTTATGTATATATTTGAGCTACAAGGATTATCTTTAGTTATTTTTTCCATAAATAGCTGCAGATTGTGTATTAGTATTTTGTTAAATGAGTTAAATCCCTGAAAATGCGCATCGTGTCAGATGGAAATGCTTTTTTTAAAGAAGGAAAAGAAAATTGGATTTTGCTTCATGAGCAGACATATTGTCCTAACTAGATAACAACTTAATTGGTTAGAAAATATTTGTTCATGCTGACCAGATTTGATCTTGTTTGGAATTATTATTATGAGCATTTGTACAGAACTGGATGCCGAGGTACCTGATATATATATATATATATTCATATTTCTATGCCTTAAAGATTATTATTTATGATATGTCTCTCACATCATCTTGTTTGGGATTATTCTGCGCATTGGCACAAAACTGGATGCCAAGGTACTTGATATTTTATAGACTACATGCTTGAAAGCCGATGCTATTTATGATGTGTTCTCCCTTTGTAAATAATGTTAGTGTTATGTCTCTTTGAAAGCCTACACGATTTGTGATATGTAACATCAGCTATCTGTACCTGATGTGAATGCTCATGTACTCATCATCAACTGTGCATATCTGATATAACTATTCTTGTTTGGTAGCACGTCCTTGAACATGGTAAACCACATGAACGGTCAGAAATTATCCACAAGCTTGCAGGACAAATTGTAAAGATGAGTCAGCAGAAGTTTGCTTCTAATGTTGTGGAGAAGTGCTTAACATTTGGGAGTCCTGAGGAGCGTCAGTTTTTGGTGAATGAGATGCTGGGTTCCACTGATGAAAATGAGCCCTTACAGGTCTGTTCCATTCCTAGTTTTCTTAAACCTTATACGGTTTTTATACAGAAGATAATATAGGTTCTGAATCTAGTCTATATTAGTAGTGGCAATTGTTTGCGCAAAATGGTAACACAACTCGAAAACGGTTGGTTACAAGTTACAACCGTCCTTGCATGTTTGTGTAAAAATTGTGTCAACCTGTTCAACATGATTAATAAACAAATCAATATATATCACGTTGACCCGCCTAACCTGTTGTGTAACAAAATTTCAAAAATGCAAATATGCAGGCCATGATGAAAGATCCATTTGGAAACTACGTTGTGCAAAAGGTTCTTGAGACTTGTGATGATCAGAGTCTTGAGTTGATTCTTTCTCGCATTAAGGTTCATTTGACTGCCCTGAAGAAGTATACCTACGGCAAACATATCGTTTCTCGTGTTGAGAAACTCATCACAACTGGAGGTGAGGCTTTTCCTACAGAAATTATGGATGTTATCTTTTTACATATACACAAAATACAATGACCGCTAACAGATTTTTGATCTATCAAATGCAGAAAGGCGCATAGGGATGTCAGCCTCGCATTCTTCTTGAGGCATCCAATTTGGAGCAAGCATGGCATTTTTCCTGTTGCCACCACCAATAAGTATGCACCTTTTGTACAGCTAACATGGACAGGGACCTTAGCAAGTTCATTCGATCGTATAATATACAGAGGGACTATAGTTGTAAATAAGCATGAAATCCAAAGGCCCCTGCGATATGATATTTTTGTCTATCCGCCTCCGCGTAAACATTTTGGCTCACCAATTCTAATCTGATCATGAAGACTCCACATGGAGGAGGAGGGTAACTCTAGCCTGTGGAGAAGTACGTGTAAAAGGTTCATTGTCTATATTACAGTATTAAGTGTAAATGGTTAACTGCATTTTGAAAGAGAGGGTAAATAGGGAGTGTTTATGTATGGTGGGGTCTTCGACTTTGAGAACTACATAGTGTAAATATACTGCAATTTTCTCCAGGAGGAATCAAAATAACATTTAATTCACCTCTTTTTCATTCTTGTGTTAAAAAAATTCTTATTCACAGCCAAATGGCAAATTAGACACAAAGGGTGTCACCTTGTCACTTTCCCAAGGCTTTAAAAGCGTTTTGAAAAAAGAAAAGAAAAGGGCTTTACAAAGCGAATAAATCATTCGAGCCTGTAACAACAAAAGCACCTCCTGGTTTCAGTTCTATTATCGCCCTCATGCCATGCCAAGCTTGTTCTCCACTTTTTCATTTCCGGAAAGTGATTGCGCTGCGTAAGTCTTTGTCGATTTAAGCTTTCCCATTTGTTGTTTTGAACTCTTCTGGCAAAAGATGTTTTACTGAATGTTCTTTGTAACTAAGCCTGTTCTTAGTAACTCCATTAGAAGACTCTCTTCAGCTCTCCTACTTTTAGTTTAGAAGCAACTTCTTACCGGTCTTCCATTGGGCTATGTACTGAAAATCATCCACTACGTACACTCTGCCACCTCCTTTCCATCTTCATTCTCAGAACCTGAATCCCAACGATCAGCGAACCGGCTATTCACTCTCCTAGTTTTCAAGATCGTCGCCGATTCCCTCATCAAATTAATGTACTTATTCCTTACCCTTAAAAGTGGATGCCTCTCAATAGCAGATTCGTCACAGTAAGCCTCTTTAAGGATGGCTGTACAAGTCTTGTTCCTCAAAGACAAATAAAACATACTGGGGTGCCTCTCAAATGCTTTGTGCACCTTCTGTGGCAGCCCCATGTGCTTCTTAAGACACAGAAGCTTCTTCCTCTCCGCCGAATGCTCAACAAAGAGACTAAGCAACTCATGAAGAAGCCCCACAACTCGTTTTTCGGATATGTCACTGTCTGGATCCAAATGCGAAAATTCCTCATAAGGTGAAACATAGGGAAGCTTCTGAAACTCCTTTAACCAGTCCACAATCTTCCTCCTCAACCTCAAACCCTTAGATGGGAAAAGAGGAAACTCAATTGACTCCATTGGACCTCCAACATACACCCCTTTTTTCATTGCATTCCTCTGCACCGTAGACAAGACCTTTTCACCACTCTCCACAGCCAATCCCTTTAACCCATCTTCCATCTCCACAAACCTAAAAGACTCATCCAGATTCTTATCCGGGTGCTGCAAGAAATCATCAGGCAAACCCAAATACCACTGCATTCCTTGTATTATTTTCAAAGGCAAAACCTTTTCTTTACTCATCAGGATAAACTTTTTCAACCTATCCCTCAAGTCCTCCCTGCAATCCTCATAAACCCTTTTCTCCTCCCTATCAATCTCATCAGCTTCTGGGGTCAACCTAAACCAGGGAAGATTGTATTGTGGACCAGTAAACTCTTCAAAGATTGATGGGTAGAGCCTCACGAACCTTGCAACCTTCATGGGGACCTCCAATTGTATGCCCCTTTTGGACACATCAGAGATTGGGATGCAACCATTGGGGTCCTGGGAAATGCAGTTCTTGAGAGAGATGATGGGTTTAAGCACTATGGACTTGTGAATTTGCTCGATTGAATCGTAGTACGAGTCTTTCTTCCATTTCATGTAGACATCGACATAGTTGAATTTCTGGGTGTATGTGTGAGGAGGGTTATGGGGATGGCGCAGGAAGGAAAAGATTGTTTGTTCAGAGGGGAAGATGAGGTTTTTTAGGGATTTGCAGGTGGGTTTGTTGAATAACATGTATAGGGTTTTAGTAGGTACCTTCTACCCTGTATAGGTTTTAGGAAAATCTAAAATTTGTAGAGTTTTTGAAGGGTTAGGGAGGGATTGCGTTTTACCTGAGAACAAAAATTGCAGCAATGGCACGAACAATACCGTGTCTTAATGAAAGACCGATTTTTACCCCAAAAAAGAAAAAAGAAAAAAAAAGGGTTAGCTAGTGATTTGCCCCTAAATTGGTACTTAACTTTTGACTTACCCCTTATCATTTTTTTATTTTTTATTATAAGACAATTAAAGATATGAACATTTTATTTTCGCAAATAAAAGATAACACAAAATAAAAACCTTATCTCCCTTGTTTTTTTTCTTCTCTCTCCCTGATGTTTTTTTTCTCCCCCCACCTCCTTTTCCGACTCTTCTCCCGAGGCCAACCAACCCCAACCCCGACGCACCTCCTCCCGCCTCCATCTCATTCTCACGTCGCCCCATTCCCCTATGCTTCAGGGTTTTGATTTTTTTTTTCTTCCTTTTGTTCTCTACAAACTGTGTCTCCCTCTCTCTTTTCTCTTCCCGCTTCTCTCTCTTCACAGACATCAGCACCGCCCACCCTTCACGTGTCTGCAATCAAACATGCAACTCAAATGCTCTACCACTGAGCTATGGACCCATGGATAAATAATAGTTTTAGATTAAAATTACTTATCTCATTAAACCAACTTTTCATCTCATACATATGCATTTTATTATTATTCTTCAATACAAAAGTGAAAAAGATAAGCACAATCACTAGTTTTCTTTATTTTCTTCCATTTCACAAAAACAAACCAGAAAAACTTGTACTTAAAAAGAGAGACAAAGACTATGTTTCATGAAACATATTGCATGTAGGTACAAGTTTAGGGAGCAAATCACCGGTTAACCAATTAAAATAACAATAAAACAACTATTGGATAAATGAATAAAGAAGGGCCCAACCGGGTTCGAACCGATGACCTTAAGATTTGCAATCAAACATGCAACTCAAATGCTCTACCACTGAGCTATGGACCCGTGGATGTGTAATAGTTTTATATTAAAAGTACTTATCTCATTACACCAACTTTTCAACTCATACATACGCATTTTATTATTCTTTTTCAAATTTCAAAAGTGAAAAAGTTTAGCACAATCACTGGTTTTTCTTTATTTTCTTTCATTTCACAAAAACAAACTATACAAACCTGTACTCAAAAAGAGAGACATAGACTATGTTTCATGAAACATATTGCATGTAGGAACGGGTTTAAGTAGAAAATCAGCAGTTAACTCATTAAGATAAAATAAAATGAATTATTGGATAACTGAATAAAGAGGGGCCCAACCGGGTTCGAACCGATGACCTTAAGATTTGCAATCAAACATGCAACTCGAATGCTCTACCACTGAGCTATGGACCCATGGATGAGTAATAGTTTTATATTAAAATTACTTATCTTATTACACCAACTTTTCATCTCATACATACGCATTTTATTATTTTCTTCAAATTTGAAAAGTGAAAAAGATCAACACAATCTCTGGTTTTTCTTTGTTTTCTTCCATTTCACAAAAACAAATTACTTAACCCATTAAAATAACACTAAAAAAATTGTTGGATAACTGAATAAAGAAGGGCCCAACCGGGTTCGAACCGATGACCTTAAGATTTGCAATCAAACATGCAACTCAAATGCTCTACCACTGAGCTATGGACCCGTGGATGTGTAATAGTTTTATATTAAAAGTACTTATCTCATTACACCAACTTTTCAACTCATACATACGCATTTTATTATTCTTTTTCAAATTTCAAAAGTGAAAAAGTTTAGCACAATCACTGGTTTTTCTTTATTTTCTTTCATTTCACAAAAACAAACTATACAAACCTGTACTCAAAAAGAGAGACATAGACTATGTTTCATGAAACATATTGCATGTAGGAACGGGTTTAAGTAGAAAATCAGCAGTTAACTCATTAAGATAAAATAAAATGAATTATTGGATAACTGAATAAAGAGGGGCCCAACCGGGTTCGAACCGATGACCTTAAGATTTGCAATCAAACATGCAACTCAAATGCTCTACCACTGAGCTATGGACCCGTGGATGTGTAATAGTTTTATATAAAAAGTACTTATCTCATTACACCAACTTTTCAACTCATACATACGCATTTTATTATTCTTTTTCAAATTTCAAAAGTGAAAAAGTTTAGCACAATCACTGGTTTTTCTTTATTTTCTTTCATTTCACAAAAACAAACTATATAAACCTGTACTCAAAAAGAGAGACATAGACTATGTTTCATGAAACATATTGCATGTAGGAACGGGTTTAAGTAGAAAATCAGCAGTTAACTCATTAAGATAAAATAAAATGAATTATTGGATAACTGAATAAAGAGGGGCCCAACCGGGTTCGAACCGATGACCTTAAGATTTGCAATCAAACATGCAACTCGAATGCTCTACCATTGAGCTATGGACCCATGGATGAGTAATAGTTTTATATTAAAATTACTTATCTTATTTCACCAACTTTTCATCTCATACATACGCATTTTATTATTTTCTTCAAATTTGAAAAGTGAAAAGGATCAACACAATCTCTGGTTTTTCTTTGTTTTCTTCCATTTCACAAAAACAAATTACTTAACCCATTAAAATAACACTAAAAAAATTGTTGGATAACTGAATAAAGAAGGGCCCAACCGGGTTCGAACCGATGACCTTAAGATTTGCAATCAAACATGCAACTCAAATGCTCTACCACTGAGCTATGGACCCGTGGATGTGTAATAGTTTTATATTAAAAGTACTTATCTCATTACACCAACTTTTCAACTCATACATACGCATTTTATTATTCTTTTTCAAATTTCAAAAGTGAAAAAGTTTAGCACAATCACTGGTTTTTCTTTATTTTCTTTCATTTCACAAAAACAAACTATACAAACCTGTACTCAAAAAGGGAGACATAGACTATGTTTCATGAAACATATTGCATATAGGAACGGGTTTAAGTAGAAAATCAGCAGTTAACTCATTAAGATAAAATAAAATGAATTATTGGATAACTGAATAAAGAGGGGCCCAACCGGGTTCGAACCGATGACCTTAAGATTTGCAATCAAACATGCAACTCGAATGCTCTACCACTGAGCTATGGACCCATGGATGAGTAATAGTTTTATATTAAAATTACTTATCTTATTACACCAACTTTTCATCTCATACATACGCATTTTATTATTTTCTTCAAATTTGAAAAGTGAAAAAGATCAACACAATCTCTGGTTTTTCTTTGTTTTCTTCCATTTCACAAAAACAAATTACTTAACCCATTAAAATAACACTAAAAAAATTGTTGGATAACTGAATAAAGAAGGGCCCAACCGGGTTCGAACCGATGACCTTAAGATTTGCAATCAAACATGCAACTCAAATGCTCTACCACTGAGCTATGGACCCGTGGATGTGTAATAGTTTTATATTAAAAGTACTTATCTCATTACACCAACTTTTCAACTCATACATACGCATTTTATTATTCTTTTTCAAATTTCAAAAGTGAAAAAGTTTAGCACAATCACTGGTTTTTCTTTATTTTCTTTCATTTCACAAAAACAAACTATATAAACCTGTACTCAAAAAGAGAGACATAGACTATGTTTCATGAAACATATTGCATGTAGGAACGGGTTTAAGTAGAAAATCAGCAGTTAACTCATTAAGATAAAATAAAATGAATTATTGGATAACTGAATAAAGAGGGGCCCAACCGGGTTCGAACCGATGACCTTAAGATTTGCAATCAAACATGCAACTCGAATGCTCTACCACTGAGCTATGGACCCATGGATGAGTAATAGTTTTATATTAAAATTACTTATCTTATTACACCAACTTTTCATCTCATACATACGCATTTTATTATTTTCTTCAAATTTGAAAAGTGAAAAGGATCAACACAATCTCTGGTTTTTATTTGTTTTCTTCCATTTCACAAAAACAAACTATACAAACCTGTACTCAAAAAGAGAGACATAGACTATGTTTCATGAAACATATTGCATGTAGGAACGGGTTTAAGTAGAAAATCAGCAGTTAACTCATTAAGATAAAATAAAATGAATTATTGGATAACTGAATAAAGAGGGGCCCAACCGGGTTCGAACCGATGACCTTAAGATTTGCAATCAAACATGCAACTCGAATGCTCTACCACTGAGCTATGGACCCATGGATGAGTAATAGTTTTATATTAAAATTACTTATCTTATTACACCAACTTTTCATCTCATACATACGCATTTTTATTTTCTTCAAATTTGAAAAGTGAAAAGGATCAACACAATCTCTGGTTTTCTTTGTTTTCTTCCATTTCACAAAAACAAATTACTTAACCCATTAAAATAACACTAAAAAAATTGTTGGATAACTGAATAAAGAAGGGCCCAACCGGGTTCGAACCGATGACCTTAAGATTTGCAATCAAACATGCAACTCAAATGCTCTACCACTGAGCTATGGACCCGTGGATGTGTAATAGTTTTATATTAAAAGTACTTATCTCATTACACCAACTTTTCAACTCATACATACGCATTGTATTATTCTTTTTCAAATTTCAAAAGTGAAAAAGTTTAGCACAATCACTGGTTTTTCTTTATTTTCTGTCATTTCACAAAAACAAACTATATAAACCTGTACTCAAAAAGAGAGACATAGACTATGTTTCATGAAACATATTGCATGTAGGAACGGGTTTAAGTAGAAAATCAGCAGTTAACTCATTAAGATAAAATAAAATGAATTATTGGATAACTGAATAAAGAGGGGCCCAACCGGGTTCGAACCGATGACCTTAAGATTTGCAATCAAACATGCAACTCAAATGCTCTACCACTGAGCTATGGACCCATGGATGAGTAATAGTTTTATATTTAAATTACTTATCTTATTACACCAACTTTTCATCTCATACATACGCATTTTATTATTTTCTTCAAATTTGAAAAGTGAAAAGGATCAACACAATCTCTGGTTTTTATTTGTTTTCTTTCCATTTCACAAAAACAAACTATACAAACCTGTACTCAAAAAGAGAGACATAGACTATGTTTCATGAAACATATTGCATGTAGGAACGGGTTTAAGTAGAAAATCAGCAGTTAACTCATTAAGATAAAATAAAATGAATTATTGGATAACTGAATAAAGAGGGGCCCAACCGGGTTCGAACCGATGACCTTAAGATTTGCAATCAAACATGCAACTCGAATGCTCTACCACTGAGCTATGGACCCATGGATGAGTAATAGTTTTATATTAAAATTACTTATCTTATTACACCAACTTTTCATCTCATACATACGCATTTTATTATTTTCTTCAAATTTGAAAAGTGAAAAAGATCAACACAATCTCTGGTTTTTCTTTGTTTTCTTCCATTTCACAAAAACAAATTAC